GCATTTGAAAAAGCTGGGACGGAGAATCCAAAATCGTCGAAAGGGAAAACTCTCCAAAGCGTCAGACTGCACCTCGACAATGCGAGTCCGCATGTCTCACAACAAACCAAGGACTTAATCGAGCGATTTTGCTGGGACGTCATTGCCCATCTCCCTTACAGCCCTGCCTTAGGGATTCCGAAGTTGAAAGAGCACCTAGGCGGTCAACGGTTCGAGACGGATGACGGGTTGCAAGAAGCAGTTATCAGGTTTCTAACCGAGCTGCCGGCAGGCTTCCATGAGACGGGAGTGCAAAAGTGGATTACACGTCCAAAAAAAAATAATGGCGACTATGTAGCAAGATAGCTGAAAGATCATTGTTTCCAATGGCGAATTCGTTTTTTCAAATAAAAAATTCCTTGCCTGAAAAATGTTTGAGAATCTTATTTTTGAAACCACCCTCGTATTAGGTATATTTGTTCGCAAGTATAGCTCGGTAAGGGATATTGCTAAAATTCGTGTTCATAAGAACTCATCGCGCTATTTTTGGACTTACTTTCTGTCCTAGGAGTACCAGCATTGTTTTTCGAATCACCATCCCAACTAACAATTATCACTCCTATTAAAGCTGCTACACACAGTGCCGGCGGCAATGCCGCCGGGTTTATGCCGAGCGGCTATGCCGCCGGCAATACAAGCCGCCGGCACAAGCCGCGCAAAGCCGTCAAGCATCATTCCGGTTGGGACAGTCACATAGAAAGATAGTGAAGTGCTGCATTTCTGGTATTCCATAGTATATCATTTTCATGAAATTTTTCAATTAAGAGCAGCACAGCTTCGTCGTCCCAATTAAACGACATCTTAATTTGTTTAAACACACAAACCGCACAACACTACCGCTCGAATGCCAGGAACGAAGTGTCGCCGGCAAGCCGCGTAACCCGCCGGCACACCCCGGCGGCTCCTTTGCGCGGCAAGGCCGGCGGCTTTGTATGCCGCCGGGTGTACGGCGGCTTAGCCGGCGGCCCTGCCGCTGGCACTGTGTGTAGCAGCCTTTAGAGTTGCAAGAATGATTATACAGTATTCCTTAAACAGCATTGTATACTGTAAGAACGTTGGCAAAACCCTCTTAGAACAGCTATACAAGCGGAATGGGCACACCTAATAGGACACTTCAGTCATGTGTCAACTATACAACTATTCTGTTACGTGATTCTACTTTATTGCAACCAAATTATTTCTTATGTATTACCTAGACGAAGTGAAGAATATATAACTAACACATTACAGTCATCTTGTTTACTTATACACCTTGGGAAAAACATTATTATACATTATGATGAGGAAGAGAGATGGAAATATACAAAAGTATGTAGGTGCGTGAAAGACACTCGATTGTAGGATCCTATGTGGCAGCGTCGGAGTGTGACGGACAACGGGGTAAAGTAGAAGAGTGATAAAAGAGAGAGATGGCAGAACGGGCGCTGGCGCCTACCGCTTAGACGGATGCGCTCAACAAATGCGATTTGTTTCTCTCATTCGCAGAGTTACCGATATCAATATGTCATATTTCAAAAAAATCTAAGTCTACCCAAATTTCGGGAAAAATAGCTGCGGATTCCACATAAGAGTATTCCAAAAATGAAAAAAGTTCAAACTATTAAAATTGTATTAATGTTTCATGGTTCAAATCATATTTTTCATGTTTGTATATTGTTGTATAAATGATTTTGTAATCCCTATTCTTGTTGCCAGTAGAGATACAACAGTATTGAGAGAAATCATGGACTGCTAGAAAGGGCTACAACTACCATATGACTATCAAATAGTAGTGATAAACAGGGTTTGTTTATAGCACAGTTGCCTGGTGTGGCGAATTTGCGCCATAGGGGCGATTTGACAACTTTGAAGGACAACTATAACGGTTACTATGGTGCCCGGTATTCGGGAATCTGGCAATACCTGATGATTCCTAACGTTTATTACGCCAGATTGTTTGCTGACTTGCGCAGTACAACATGACAATCAACGTGACTGAGCACCTGGTAACCCTGGTTTAAGGTGTCATATTTAAAGAGCTTGGGGCAGTTAGGTATCTAGGTCACATTTTTTAATGTATTTCGAGAAATCCGTAATGTTGAGTAAATACTAGATCACGTTTCTTGCTTAGTTTACTGAAAATTCTACAATAGACGTACATTCTGAGAAACAGAGATTTGGTGACGACAAAATCGTAAAAATATAACGCATTTTCGTAAAATAATTTCTTTGTTGAAAAGACTGTGGCTTGATGACCCATTGAACGAGTATAGTGTCCCGCTCCGCTTTGAATATTCGAAACACTATACTCCAGCAGCATTCAGCTTCAATGTTATCTTTATGAAGTTCTAACGTCTAGGCCATGCTGATTAAAAGCTTGAATGAATCAACACTTAACTCTAAATTCCCCACAATTCGGGAAGCTCTACTCAAATTGGCAACACAGCGTATCTGCCTATTATTCTCATTCGTGATACAGGTCTGCGGTTAACGGTAGGAAATATGTACGAATAGCGATGAAAGTAGACGAGCCGATGCGCTGTTGTCAAGAAATGATTTCCCATGTATAACAATGGTTTTTCCTAAGGTGTATATCGGCCATTGTGAATTTCATACACAGGTATATGATAAACTTCTACACTGTGATATAGGGCTATTGAATTACTTGCGCAGCAAATTTTATTGTGATTATCGTGCAGATTAGTTACCCAATTTCTACGGGATTCATATTTTGACAATGATCAAAAGTATGTCTAGATTTTTAAGATGGAAAACTGAACTTATCTGCGTTAAATCTTCCACAAATCACTAATGTTTATCACTTTATATCTGTAATTTCGAACTGAAACATAGTTATTTTATATTAAATAGAGGAATAAATGTTTGCCCAATATGGCGGGTGGTTGTGTACAATCATGGCATCGTCCATGTTGTCTTTAGGTTATTAGAATATTTTGGTGTTGCCTGCAGGTGTTATACAACAATTTGAAAAATGTCTGAAATGAAATACCGACAGAGTCGAATGATTTACCCAGAATTTGTACCAGATCTATATCTTCTGTTTGAACAGTTGATAAAACCTTTTGAACCAATATGCATGCGTTGTTTATCTTAAAACATTGATTATGGCATTTTACACAAATATGACAGCAGAAAGTTAGGTTATGGTGAAGTTGTTTACTAACATATTTAGCATATGTACAGTCTTAAACAGTTACTAAACAACAGTTGTATAAGTGCTTCCGTTAGGAGCAATTTGTTGGCTAAAGTATTAAATTGCACAGCAAAACAACAAGGCTCGTGTTTGTTTTATAAACGTTACCATGGATGCCACAACACAACCATTTTGACTAACGTGCAAATATGCCGTATAAAATCGTTGTATAAACGTTTATGCAACAAAAATTTGCCCTATAAGGTGTTGTATAACTATGCTATAAGAATATTTTAAACACTTCATTTTATAGCAAATATACTAAGTGACATATAAATCCGAACACCCAGTTTAAATGGTTTTATTTTAATAAAATTTTGTATAAGTACTTAATGAAGCATAATAAGTAAATGATAAAAATTTCAAAATGATTGCACTGCTTTAAAGCCCTTTGACCTTTAATAATGTGTGGATGCACCCTGATGTGCTACGCATTCTCCAACGCGCCTAGGCATGCTTCTGATCAGGTGGTCAATGTCCTCCTGTGGTATCTCATTCCAGGCAACCACCAACTCCTCTCGAAGTGCTTCTAGAGTCCCACACGTGCTCAATTGGGGATAAGTCGGGAGATCTTGGTGGCCATGGTAACAATGTGACATCATTATGTTGAAAGAAGTCTATTGTGACTCTTGCAACATGTGGTCGGGCTTTATCTTGTTGGAAAGTTGGATCTGCCAGGGTGTCAAGATACGGTAAAAGATGGGGTTCTAGAACTTCGTGGATATAACGCTGCGCGTCCATGTTACCTCTGATGAAGATTAAAGGTCACCTGGAACCATAAGCTATAGCACCCCAAACCATAACTCCAACAGTGTGATGAACATGTCTTTCAACAAAAAACTGTGGATTCCTCCTTTCACCACGTCGCCTTCTAACCCTGGCACGACCATCGTGCATGCCTAAACAAAATCGAGACTCGTCACTAAAGACAATACTGTTCCATTCCTGATCCCAGAGTGACCGTTGTCTGCACCACTCAAGGCGATTACGTCGGTGTTCTCGAGTTAAAGGGAGGACCCAGTGTTGCCGGTATGAAAACAAGCCAAAACTTCTCATTCGTCGGTAAACACTTCGCATGTCAATAGGTCTTCCGTGTTCTGCAAACCATTCATTTGCAATGGACCTGGTAGTGGAGAAACGGTCCCTTAAGGCCAATAATCTTAGGCAGCGATCTTCACGGTCTGTTGTTCTACGGCGGCGTCCAGTGCCCCTTGCTCTTTACGTACGGCCTTCTCGAAGCCATGCCTGACAACACCTAACCACAGTGTCTACACTTTTTTGCACTCTAACTGCAATTGCCCGAAAAGAAGGTCCAGCTTCCCGAAGTCCCACTATACGGCCCCTATCAAACTCACTCATTTGACGAAATCGTACAGGTCGCCGTATTCTAGGCATCGTAACCGATCGTAAAGGATGTCAAGAACCAAAATCCGCCAACGTTGATTCTTTACTGCGGCTGAAATATTCATTTTTAGAGCGTTAGTGAATTAAAAAGTCACCAACTTTTATTAAAATAAAACCATTTAAACTGGGTGTTCGGATTATTATGTCACTTAGTATATGTTGCAGAAAGCAAATCTGCATTCCACACAACATTAAGCCAGCATTTTGGTGTTCAGGCAACAACAATAGAGACCTTTTATGGCTGAACGGTTCTTTTACCAAAAGCTTATACCACTACTTTGCTAGTTGGGATGTATATTAGATTACCGGAAATCTTCCTCCAAAGTAAATAATACGTTACCTAATATTCTCCCATAAAAATAACTGAGCCCACAAGAGAACACCATGCAGCAGAATATGACATATTTAACCCTTATCAACTTCAGGGTGTGAAGGTGATTTGATTTCAGGTCAAAATTCGAGTAGTTCTCGATATCCCAGAAATTTGCTTGCATGGCATTTAGAAGATCCATAATCTTCGGGCGCTGCACATATAAACATACGTGGTAAAGTATTGCCTAAGAGATACATGTATTAATGATATTAGTTTATTAGATCAGGTGGGTATAGATGTGTTTCCAAAATATGGGCAAAAAATTGACAGGGATTTAAATATTTAAGACTAGTTTGCCCTTTGTATATTTTCGAAATACACATACACATGCAGGGCGCGAAAAGGCACGTGGATCACAATGAGAAGCCGTCTTTGAAGTAATGGATGTAATGAATATGGCCGATTTCTTATAAAGTGTCTCTCAAACTAGAGAAAAATTGTACAACTTGTATATTATGACCCACTCTCTCACATATTAATTCAGGAAATACGTCATAAATCCCTTGGTTTAGCTACAAAAACTTTTTTCCCTTTGCGTCCGCACATTATACTCTAAGCACGGGCACAAATCTGATAGAATAACAGGCTCAAAACGGAAGGGGAGGGGGGGCATATTCAAACAAATTTTTGGCAAAAAGGAAACCAATTTGCTCAAAATCGCACAGAATGTTTTCTGAATTTATTTGAGATAGCATTTAAAAATAAACTGCACATTGACATTGCCACTTTTCGATCTGTTCAAGTTGGCATAAATATGATTTTTCCTCTATTATCCTCCGTCTCAACTACTTTTTATTTAACACGCTTTTATTAGCTTGGCCAGTATGTATGTATATACGAGGGCTGTCTTTTAAGTTTTGCATATGGAAATAAAACAACAAGGTAGGTAGTTTTAAATGACTTTATTGTTTTCCACGAAGATTAATACACATCTGCATGCGCTCGAACCAATTTTCGAAGCACTTATTCCACTCGTTTGCTGGCAGATCCAAAACGGCTTTTTTGAATGCGTCAACTGCTTCTTCTGGTGACTGAAACCTTTGACCACGTAGTCTGTTTTTAATTTTCGGGAAAGTAAAGAAATCGTTAGGACTTAGATCGGGACTATATGGAGGATGGTCCAATAATTCCACGTTTTCTTCCGTTAAATACTGCCTTGTTTTTTGGGCTGTCTGCGAGCTTGCATTGTCTTGGTGGAGGATGATTCTTCTTTCGGGGTTGATTTTTCGAAGCTCGGTGATGACTATTGGCAAATAAATGGTGGTATACCAATCCGCAGTAACAGTTCTTTGCTTATTAAGAGGAATTAAGGGCTTTCCGGGAAAAACAACATTAGTCACTTTTTGTTGAAATTGAGTTGGCAACGCTGTTGTGTTCTACATGTTTCAATGCTGCTTTCTGATGTTTAAGTTTCCCGTCAAAAGCACATATCTCCGTCTAAAATGCGTTTAAAGAATCGTCGGTTCCATAAGAACGACATTACAGTATATTCAGATAAGAGATAGACCGGACATAAACAAGACCACGTGATCATCGAACGCTGTAACATTCGGCAGGGACGTATTAAGAGTCACGCAGTACATATTTTAGATAGTAGATGCTGCTTTGCGTAACTTTGTAGTAAATTAGCACAATTCGATGTGTATACGATTGGTGATGGATATAGGATCATGTGGGGGTGGGGTAAGAAATATATAATGATGTAAATATACATAAGGGTTTCAAAATTTTCGCTTCGATTTCCAGCTTCGGATGCCGCCTGATGTTTGGTGAAATACAGTCGAATATAATCTCAAAATGGCGTTTAAATTAGCCTAAATTAAAAATAATCGTATATCTCTTAAAATTGCTTTTAGAATATTGATTAGTATATTTTTTTATTTCTAGGTAAATATGTAACCAAATTAAAACGTTCAAAACATAAAAAAATGTGCATGGTTGAACATTGTCAGAAAGTAGATTCTTGAATAGGTTTTGCCAAAATGGGTTCAAAAATGTCAATAATTAATTAAAAAATACAGTAGCTTTATAATTACTTATAACTTACCGAATTTGATGAACGACATCTTTTATTGGAAAGATGAGCTTGATGCTTTCATCATCGCTACTGCCTGAAGCACCAACGTCAATAATGAATGGCTCGACTTGTTCCTCTAAAATATTGTCCAGTTCCCACATTCTCTTTTCAACTTGGTCTTTCACGTGCTTAATACAGTTTTCCCATTTTTTGCGATGTTATTAATTCTAGTGCTTCTTTGAAAAGTCCTTTGAGGTCACAAAATTTAAAAGTTGTATTGTGCTTAGCTATATAATTTATTAACCTCTGCCCATATGAGCTCAATGGGATTGAGCTCGCAATGGTATGGAGGTAAACGGAGCACAGTTTTATTTTGACTTGCTGCCATTTCGTCAATGGCGTATTTTTGATATTCCGCCTTGTGATCCTTGACAATTCTTAATAATTGTACTTTCAGCATTGCTTCTTCAAAGTTGATATTTTTCGAGCGGAGCCAATTTTGAACATCAACTTTCCTTGAAGCCGTTGTTGGGACCTTCTCCATTCTTTGAGAATGATAAGGCGCATTATCCAACACAATTACTGCGTTTTCCTCTAAGTTCGGTAAAATTTTTGAAAACCACTGTTCAAACGATTCGCCATTCATATCCTCGTGGTAATCTCCAGTTTCCTTAGACTCAAAGCACCACAGACCGTCAACAACAAATCCATACTCACTGCCAATATGGCAGATAATGAGCCTCTTCCCTTTACCTGGAAATCGAAGTACTAATTGGTGTAGATTTATTTCAATAAGCGAACCTTTTTCAAATGTTTTCATCACATTCAGCGAAAAAACATTGAGACCTGAGTATCAAATTGCTATAATTGGGATTATTTAGTCATATTGAAAGAAAGAATATTGAACGTCGTATGATTACTCAGCGCTTCACAATTTAATTTAAAGTTATAAACCTTTAAAAAATGAATGATCAGGAACCTGAAATACGCGCAAATATTAATATTAACAAATTATAACTTTATAAAGCTTAAAGTATGAATTAAAATGATTAGAAATATTAGGAACGGTACACAATATAAAACTTAGTAACTTTTTTTAAGTTTATAATATTCGACATATTTTAAGATTATATTAAAAAATTATTGAAATATCGAAAATACATAAAAACATGGCTTAAAAAAGTTCTAACAAATGAAAATGACAATAAAACATCCACGCATTTTATCGAAAGTTATAAAAGTTTTGATACTTGTAATATGTTTTATCTGCCCCCTGGAATTAATGATTAGAACCTTGTTCCCAAGGTTTGAAACACATCCGATTGTTGTCTATTACTCGTATTTACCTGCTGGATTTTTTAATCCGGTGGACAGTCCATCTAGAAAGGCCCTCCTGGATGAAGTTACAGAATCATCAACCCATACTTTACTTGTAGTGTGTCCTGCGTTTACCCACGTTTCATCAAGGTAATAAATCTTCCTGTTTTGATTTCTATATTTCCCAATTTTTGTTAAATAATCCCTCCTCCATAGCACAATTTCTTCTCTATCCAGTAGTAAACTATTACGACCCCGTTTTTTCCATTTGAAATTTAAATGCTTCAGTAACGCATGGAAAGTTGATCGTTTGAAATTTGGCAACGTTGTATCTCCATTTACCTCCTGCAGTACTTTATCTATAGTAGGTATTTCATTCCTAAAGAAGAATTCATGCACTTTCCTCCTAATCGCATGCTTATCAGCTTCATCCAATGATTTAACAATACTTTTGCGATGTTTACTGGTCATTGGCTCAGAAAAGGTGTGATTTTTTTTGTATTGTCTTAACACATTAAACACTGATGCGCGACACACCCCAACTTTGTGAGAAACCTTCACAACAATTTCTTTGATGGTTGATGCCTCGTTCTCCTCGCGCTCGATCTTATATGTATTCAAAATGACCTCTTTCATTTCTGCACTCAGGTATCTTTTTTTAGAGCGTTTCCTAGGTGGACTACAGGAGTTTACAACTTCATCGGCAGTATCTGTACTACTGGGCATTTTGCGCAAGCAGTTGATAACAATAACAATCAATAACAAGGTATAACAATAACAACGACAAACTTAACAACTTAATAAGATAACAAACGAAAACGTCCAAAGAAATATCAAATTGCAATGATGCACACGACATACGTAACACGTCTGAACCTGAATGTGACTCTGCCTTGATACGACTGCTAGCGTGAAAATCACCCGAACCTTTTGTTTACATCCGGTCTATCTCTTATCTGAATATACTGTAGTCAAAATAGGTTTCCCATAAAAACAACACTTGTCAGTGACATGTGTTGTTTTTTCTTGAGTAACGTTATACAAAATTAGGTTGATTGTTGGTTAAACGTGTCTTGTGTCAAATTAATATTATTTTATTATCACAAATATGGAATATGAAAGACAAAATCCAGCGAACAATACTGAAATACCAGAAAGAAAGAAGTCAAAAACCAATAAAAGGACATTGGACAAAGTAGCCAGGGTTAAAGGTGAACCTTTTTTTAATAATAAGGGAATCGCCAAGCAAGCTAGAGTTACTGGGCCAGATTGCAGGTTAGTTATGACTTTAGGAATATATTTTATAGCTTTGTTTAAATAATAGATATTTTATAGATGTGCTCGATTAAAATGCTTTGAGAAGATTACAGAAGACAAAAGAAATACCACTTTAACCAAATTTAATATGCTGGAATCTAAATATGCCCAGGACAGTCATCTTGCTGGTAATATAACACAATATGCTTTAATAGTAGGTACCTTATAATACATTTTTTTGGGATTGATATCATTTGGCCCCCCACGGCAAAGACGTCGTTGTAGAAGACATCAAGATGTGCCACAGGATAATGAAAATCATGAAGTGGAAGATGGTGTGGATGAGCCTTTACTACAAAAACATCAACATCTAGCTTCTTATAAATACAAAATAAGAGATGGGGTGAATGAAGTGCTGGTGTGTGCCAAACCATTTTGTAGCATACATGGAATCTCAAAAGAAATATTGCGACGAATAAGGTTATGTCTTGTAAAAACAGGTCGGTAGTCGCAGTCACAGGAAGCACTAACCGTGGACGGTATGAAAAATGTCCAAAGTCTCGAATGCGGCGATAGAGTGTACGCATGGTAACACGTCTACCTTCTTCTCCAAACCATTGGTTAGCGATCTGACGAGTACTAGCAAAACGGTCTCGTATGGCAGGTTGTCTGAAGCGCCTACCTTGACGCTTTGTGGTACGCCTCGTAGGAACAGTTGGCCTTCTTCGTGTTTCTCTACCCTCTTCTATCCACACACGACATACACGCATTACCGTCATTGCAGTAGGCGGTTTGTTGTCACATGAGTTGGTTGTCACAATTGTTAAATCTCAGCAGCTCCGCAAGATGTAGTTGTTTGGCGCGCTACAAATCGTTTCTGCGTCCGCGCAGAACACTTATATTCAGTTGTCGTTGGTAGATTAAGGTCGCACGCACAAAAATAAACAAATCGCCTAACCTGAGTAAATTTTTCGTTTGCCACATAATTTGTGTTTTCAAGTCTACATTTGATAATAAAAAGAACTGTTGAATTTATTTTGCTCTTCAATAATCCGAATACGACTTAAAGTGAGTATTGACTTTGAATTTGTTAATTTAGTGACGCTATATAACCTTAAAAATTAATTATCTAGTGGGACAGGTTGTCTTAAATTGGCGGGGGCCTCTTGTCACATGTGCCAACCAGCCCTCACACTAGACGATTAGCTTTGCACATCATTCTACGTAGGTATATGTATAAAATGTATTTTTTTAATATTTTCAGATTACATAAGCATGGTTCGAAATTTCAAAAGGAAGACTGAGAAGGGCAAAGCGCCGCCTGATGTACTTTTAAGAGCTGCTAGGTTGGTGAGATTGGATCCTCAATAAGAAAAGCGGCAGCTGACTTCAATTTAAATTACCGTACTTTAGCAAGATACTGTAAGAAAATTCCAGAGTCTGAATTACTTGATGATCGAGTTGTTGCGCCGTCAGTTTCAGTTGGCTACATCAAAAATCATTTAGTATGTGAGCCTGAAATTGAAAATCATCTAGTGAAATATGTACTCAAAGCATCTGATATTTATTTTGGATTCTCACCCAAGGCAGTACGTGGACTGGCATATGCTATTTCCTTGAAAATGCCGGAAAATTGGAAGCTCCATAAAATAGCTGGTCCTGACTGGTTTAGTGCGTTTCTGAAACGTCATTATGTACTGTCTATTAGCAAACCGGAAGCAACTAGTTTAGCAAGAGAAAGTAGTTTCAATAAAACGGACGTCAACGCATTTTTTGATAATTTAGCTTCAGTTATGGAAAAATATAAATTTTAGCCTCACGAAATCTGGAACATGACGAACCTCAGATTACAACTGTCCAAAGACCCGACCGCGTTGTTGCCAGAAGAGGATTCAAACAGGTTGGTTCGATAGTTTCATCAGAAAGAGGAACTCTTGTTACTTTAGCAAGTGCAGCAACAGCTATTGGAAATTCCATACCTCCTTTTTTCATTTTTCCACGGGTACATTTCAAACCACATTTTTTAAATTTGGTTCCTCCTGGCTCACAAGGTTCAGCAAACCCATCAGGTTGGATGAAAGAGTCACATTTCTTGGAGTTTCTTAGATTTTTTCACCTTTATGTGAAAAGTACTGTGGAAAGACCGTGACTGCTTTTACTAGATAACCATGGATCACATCTGAGTATAGATGGTTGAATTTTGCCAAAGCAAATGGCATTGTCATGCTCCCTTTTTACCCTCACTGTTCACATAAACTTCAACCTCTTGACCGCGCCGTTTTTGGCCCCCCTAAGAAATATGTAAATACTTCCTGCGATGCTTGGGTTTTAAATAATCCCGGTAAGACCATGACATACCTTCAGTGGTCTCTATTGCATACCCCCTCGCATTTACTCCTAAAAATATACAGTCTGGATTTCGGGTGTCGGGTGTGTTTCCTTTCAACAGAGATATTTTCACGGATGATGACTTTCTTGCGAGCTCTGTCACTGATAGGCCAGAACGAAGCAATAACTGGGCCAAACCCGGAAACCTTAAACGAAAAGGAAGTTGGGCCAAATCCAATCATCTTGAACGAAGATGAAACTGTAAGTCTGATAAATATTAACACGCAGGAAGCAATAGATAATATAAGAGAGGGCAAAACAGCTAATCAAACTAGTTTTGATGATCCCTGCTGTAGTAGTTTAGTAAGGCTGCATGCGGGAAATATAGTATTTCCAGAAAGTTTAAGACCTTATCCAAAGGCAAAGGCAAGAAAAATGAATCGAGTTTCCCGTCGTAAACGAGGGACTGCATTACTCACTGACACTCCAGTAAAAGGCGAATTAGAGAAAGAGAAAAATAAATGCTCGAACAAGGAAAAGAGGAACAGGGAAACAGTGAAAAGGGACGTTTTGATTCAGAAAAAGTCCTGTTCAGATAATGAAACTGATGGAGAAGAATGTTTTTGCTGGATTTGTCTTGAACCATTTTCTAACAGCGCGTCAAATGAAGAATGGGTGAAATGCTCATCGTGTAATGGTTGGTCTCATGATGCGGGCACTGATGGACGCGAACTTTACATATGTCATAACTGCGATAGTGACTAATTGAAAAAAAAACTCTTCTACTTTTTTCTCATAAAGATTTGGTATTTAGATACCTTATGTCTTATTTGTAATAATAAATATGTTTAAAAGTATGATATAAATTATTAATGATCTAAAATACACGTGACGACCAGCCCCAAGCAATGTGACATCTAGCCCCAGCAAAGGGCATGTTGTCACATTTGTTTCTGTATTTTGAAACATTTTAATTCAATATTATTATTATTATTATGATAATTGAGATGAGCAGAGTACACAGTACTATAAGCTCATGCAGTAAATATAGTGTACGGACACGTAACACAAATACATCAAATAGAAAAAAATAAAAAAAGACAGTTCATAGCTATAAAGTTTGTACACTCCTCCAGCTATCATACTGCACTTTGAAGCTATTAACTGAAGTAGCACCAACCACATTTTCAGGTAAACTATTCCAGGTGTTGGGAAGAAACCACTGTCGGACTGTTGTTTTAAATGGCTCCTTATGCAGTTTGAAGCTGTGTCCGCGTAGATTGCTGCGCGACAGACGGTATAGATGCATGAGGTTGGTGCCCATCAAACCATGAAGTATCCTGAACGTAACTATAAGATCGCCACGAAGTCTTCGCTCAGAGAATGAGGTCAGGTTGAATAATTCAAGGCGATCTTCATAGCTTGGTCTTCGTGCTCCAAAAGGGATACGAGTAGCCCGACGCTGTACTGATTCGACGAGATTTCTATCGCGCAGAAGCACAGTGTCCCATACCGGGCCAGCGAATTCAAGAATTGGCCTCACGAAAGTAGATGTCTTATGGGGATTCGGTCTCAAAACTTCCAAAATCCGCCACCAGAGGCGCTGGCGTCGCGCGCCATTGACAGGTTGTTGGACGGAATCTGTAATCGAAATTCATGAGTCGGGGATTCCGCCGCTAGATGGCGCTGTCAAACCAAACGGAATCTGTGTGTCATTGGACACCTGTCATGCGTCATTGGGCATCTCACGCATAGATGGCGTTACACGTCATCTGTCATACGTCATTGGACACCTGTCATTGATGGGTTGAGCATCTCGCGCATAAATGGCGTAGATTTGTTTGGCGGTGTACAAACCTAACGGAATCTATGCGTCATTGGACAGCTGCCATTGATGGGTTGGGCATCTCGCGCATAGATGGCGCCGATGTCGCACCTGTCTGGTGTTGGCGTGGATTACGGGGGGCAACGTGTATACAGGGGTGCATCGAAAAATAGCGGATCGATGGACCGACGGTATATCGTTAAATCGTATATAGCAAGGCGTGACCTAAATAGCGTGGTGGGCTCCTCTGGTCGGTCGGTCGGTCGGTCAGAATGTCTCATAACCTGTATACGATGTACTGTTATTATTATACAGG